GCCCTCGAAGCGGCGCGTGAAGCGGGAGAAGCGGGACGATGGCTCCGAGGCCGCTGCCAGTTCCAAAACTAGCTCAGGAGATGCCTCGTCACTTAGCATCGAGGAGACCGATAAACTCCGGGCCAAGTTGGGGCTGAAACCCTAGGAAGTCAATGCCGTGGAGAAGGAGGCGGGCACCCAGAAGGAGCCCGTGGCAGCCGATGTCATCAACCCCATGGCCTTGCGACAACGAGAGGAGCTACGAGAAAAGCTGGCAGCTGCCAAAGAAAAGCGCCTCCTGAACCGGAAGCTGGAGAAGATCAAGACTCTGGGGGAGGAGGACCCCTGGCCGGACGCCGCCGCAGCCTGGATCGAGAGAAGCCGGCAGCTGCAGAAGGAGGAGGACTTGGCAGAGAAGAGGACCGAGCTGCTGGAGGAGATGGACCAAGAGGTTGGTGTCAGCACGCTGGTGGTGGAGGAGGAGTTCGGGCGGGGGCGGCAGGACCTGTACAGTGCCTGGGACCTGCAGGGCCTCACTGTGGAGCATGCCATGGACTCCTTCCGAGAAGGGCAGACCGTGACCCTCACCCTGAAGGACAAAGGCGTGCTGCGGAAGGAAGAAGATGTGCTGGTGAACGTGAACCTGCTGGAGAAGGCGCGGGCAGAGAAAAACGTGGAGCTGCGGAAGAAAAAGCCCGACTACCTGCCCTATGCAGAGGATGGAGTGTGGATGACCCGGCGCAGCAAAAACCCCGCTCTGTCCTGGCCAAGTACGACGAGGAGCTGGAGGGCGAGCGGCAGCACTCCTTCCGTTTGGGGCAGGGCGGCCTTGCCCATGGCCTTCGGGAACGTGAGCTGGAAGAGATGCGCACCAAGCTGCGGCTGCAAGCTCAGTCCCTGAGCATGGCCGGGCCGCGGCTCGCCTCCGAGTACCTGACGCCAGAGGAGAGGGTGACCTTTAAAAAGACCAAGCGGAAGGTGAAGAAGATCCGAAAGGAGGAGAAGGAGGTGGTAGTGCGGGCTGACGACTTGCTGCCTCTTGGGGACCAGACTCAAGATTGCTGCCTCTTGGGGACCAGCCTCAAGATGAGGACTTTGGTTCCAGACTGCGGGGCCGGGGCCGGGGCCGGGGCCGGGGCCGGAGCCAAGTGCCCGAGGGAGATGAGGAAGCCCCGGAGGAGGAGGAGGAGGAAGAGAGGGAGCCGGCGTCTCAGCCCCCACCGTCAGATGACACTCGGGTGGAAAACATGGATATCAGTGATGAGGAGGAGGATGGGCTGCCACCTGGGTCCCCAGAGCTGCTGGAGGAGGATGAGGCGGAGCTGGAGCTGCAGATGCAGATGCAGCTGGAGAAGGGCCGCCGGTTACGGCAGCTGCAGCAGCTACACCAGCTGCGGGACAGCGGCGAGAAGGTGGTGGAGATTGTGAAGAAGCTGGAATCCCGCCAGCGGGGCTTGGAGGAGGAGGAGGGTCCGGAGCGGAAGGGGACCATCGTGTTCAGCGCCACGTCGGATTTCTGCCGTACCTTGGGGGAGATCCCCACCTACGGGCTGGCCGGCAACCGGGAGGAGCAGGAGGAGCTCATGGACTTGGAACGGCATGAGGAACGCTCGGCCAAAGGCGGCTCTGAGTCTGACGGGGAGGAGAACATTGGCTGGAGCACAGTCAACCTGGAGGAGGAGAAGCAGCATCGGGATTTCTCTGCCTCCTCCACCACCATCCTGGACGAGGAGCCCATCGTGAATAGAGGGCTGGCAGCCGCGCTGCTCCTGTGTCAGAACAAAGGACTGCTGGAGAGGACCGTGCAGAAGGTGGCCAAGGTTAAGGCACCCAAGGAGTCCCTGCTGTCAGCAGTGTACTGCATTGAGGACAAGATGGCCATCGATGACAAGTATAGCCGGCGGGAGGAGTACCGGGGCTTCACCCAGGACTTCAAGGAGAAGGACGGCTATAAGCCTGATGTTAAGATCGAGTATGTGGATGAGACGGGCCGAATACTCACACCCAAGGAGGCTTTCCGACAGCTGTCCCACCGCTTCCACGGGAAAGGCTCGGGCAAGATGAAGACAGAGCGGAGGATGAAGAAGCTGGACCAGGAGGTGCTCCCGAAGAAGATGAGCTCCAGCGACACACCCCTGGGCACTGTGGCTTTGCTCCAGGAAAAGCAAAAGGCCCAGAAGACACCGTACATCGTGCTCAGCGGCAGCGGCAAGAGCATGAACGCAAACACCATCACCAAGTGAAGCTGACCTCCCCTCCGATCCCCTCCCCAACTTTAATATCAAATAAAGTTTCCCCCTTAAAAAAAATCAACAGAGCTAGATAGAGATAAGATTTTTATCAAAGGTCAGATAAACTATAAACATAAAAGAAGGAACTGTAGAAGGTCAAAGAAGGACCCAAAACATACCATGATGTAACTAGAGGCATGCTTATAGGATCCAATGGTATAAATACAGTTGTAACAGGACAATAAGGAGAGAATCTGGCTATGCTGATCAACTGAAAAAAATAAGGGGGGGGGAGGTCCCTGTAGAGCTCCCCTACCCTTTCTACCTCTGAAGACACAGAGAGATGGCCACCTGTGAACCAGAAAGCAGGCTCTCACTAGACCACGCATGTCAGAGGTGACACGCGAACTCATTTTTTTGGTTGATTTTTCTTTGTTAAATGGCATTGAAATATATAAAATAAATATCAAAAATATAAATCTTTGTTTTACTATGGTTGCAAATATCAAAACATTTCTATATGTGACACAGCACCAGAGTTAAGTTAGGGTTTTTCAAAATGCTGACACGCCGAGCTCAAAAGGTTCGCCATCACTGCACTAGACACTACTGTAAATCTGCTGACTCTTTGGTCTTAAATTTCCCAGTCTCCAGAGCTGTGAAAATAAATTTCTGTTGTTTATAAGCCACCTGTCTATAGTGTTCTGATATAGCAGCCTGAGCTAAGATACTAGGTAACATCAAAAAGGATCATGTAGTGCTTGCATTGGCAGCACATGTACTAAAATTGGAAATATACAGAGAAGATTAGCATGGTCCCTGCGCAAGGATGACACCCAAATTTGTGAAGTGTTCCATATATATATTTTTTAATTTGGAAATATTGGGGGGCCAGGCGGGTAAGTCCAACTCAAGAGGAAGGACTTCCACTGGTGCTCAGGCCGCACCAACCTTTTATTTGGTTTGGGATCCACCCATAGTATAGCTCGTAGGCAGGGAGGTTCCAGTGACACACAGACTATTCTTATCAATAAGGATTTACACGACTAAAGGTGGGGAGGTTGCTTCAGCTACCATTATCTGGATTAACAGAGGTGGTGCACAGCTCTGACCTTTGCTAGGGCTTCAAAGGTCACCAGCCTTCCGGGTTCTCTGTCTACACCTCTCTGCTAGTGAAGACAATAGGCGGTTTCCCACACTCCTACATACCCCACACTGGGGATCAAGCCCACAACCCAGGCATGTGGCCTGACCGAGAATCGAACCGTGATCTCCTGGTTCATAGGTCGATGCTCAACCACTGAGCCACACCAGCAGGGCTAATCTTTGCATTTTCCAATCCAATCCTCAACATTGCCACCAGAGTGATCTTTCAAAAATGTAATAGGTCATGTCACCTGTTTACAGCTCTTCATCTGTTTCCCTTGCATTAAAATCCAACGCCCTTGGGTTTTAGCCTGAACTTCTTAATACGTCTTGTAAAGAACTTTGTGGTTTAGCATCTGTCCCTTCTCAAACTTGTTACTATAGTCACCACCTCATTCTGTGTTCTAACCACACAGTCTGGGCCCTCTCTCTGGAGCACTTCCTTCAGGGCCTGGGTCAGGAGCCGCTCCGGGTGCTTCCACAGCCAAGTGTTCCATATTTTTAATTAAAAAAAAAAGGATCATGTAGAAATGTCTTGATTGGAAATGGAAAATTTTCTGTGATGTAATATAAAGTGAAAATGGGAAGTTACCTTGTTGCTTAAGTCTCAAATACAGGGAAGTGCAAGCCCTATTTTGGCTCTGACCCTGGGCAAGAGATTTGACCGCATATAGTCTCAATTTTCCCATCTGAATTGTGTTCCCCCTCCAAATTAATATACCAAAGAACTAACCCCTAGTACCTAAGAGTTTGACTGTATTTGGAGATAGGGCCTTTAAAGGAGTAATTAAGTTAAAATGAAGCCTTTAGTGGGGGCTCTAATCCAATATGACTATGTAGGGAAGGGAAAAAGATTTCCTCTATTCTCTTAGGTTTAACTAAGGCCTTTAATTCACCGGGTCCTGTGAGTTAAACTGACAAAAGACAAATTAACAGGAGAGAAGGCATACACTTTTATTAATATTTAAAGTTTTATGTGTATGGGCTTCACAAAAAAGAAGTGAAAAAGTCAAAGAGCAGACAGACTTGGGAGCTTACATACTATTTTAATAAAGGGTGATAAATTGTGGAGAAGTGAGTAGCAAAGGAAAGGGCATTTGGGCTTCTAGAGCTGGTAAACTATGAGAGTGACTAGGAAATACATGGGGGTGGGTTAAGATATCTTCTAATGCAGCGGTTCTCAACTTGTGGGTCGAGACCCCTTTGGGGGTCGAACGACCCTTTCACAGGGGTTGCCTAAGACCATCGGAAAACACATATAATTACATATTGTTTTTGTGATTAATCACTATGCTTTAATTCTGTTCAATTTGTAACAATGAAATTGGGGGTCACCACAACATGAGGAACTGTATTAAAGGGTCGAGGCATTAGGAAGGTTGAGAATCACTGTGGAAGATAAGATTATTTTAGTAAGGTCTGTTCATGCAGACTCACCTCAGCATTGACTCCTCCAGAGATAGGAGTGCTCTCCTATCCTCTCTTCCTGGAATAGGGACTGTGCTTTTTTCATAGGAGATTTATGCCCAGCTTTCACGCAGATAGCAGAGAGCTCTTCCTGCGCCTGCTGTTCCTCAGTTGCCTTCAGCTCAAAACAATTGATATGCCAAAGTGGCATATTTGAGGGTGTCATATTCTGATCTCCTTTGACTGATATCTTTCTGAAAAAAGATTTGAATACGGATGGGTAAAGAGGGAAGACCTTGTGGGCACAGCAAGAAGGTGGCATCTAGACGACAAGGAGAGGGGCCTTAGAAGAAACCAAACCTGCTGACACCTTGATCTCAGACTTCTCAGTCTCTAGGATGGAGTGAAAATAATATTTTGCTGTTTAAGCTACCCAGTTTATGGTACTTTGTTACAGCGGTCCTAGCAAAACAGTATACCATTTATCAGATGGAAAACAATCTTAAAAACATCTTCACTTAGCTCTCAAGGTTGCACTGAGTCAAAAAGATATAAATCCCTTTGTAAATTATAAACTACTACAGAAATGAGAGTAATTGTTATTCATATCGTAGCTGAACAACCTGCAGGAATGCACTCCTCTCATTAAGACTGAGCTTTTTAAGCCTTTAGTATGGCAGAGGCTCAGTTCTCATATAGGAGATGGAGAGAAACAGGAGACTTAAGGAGGACTGCAGTAAAGAACACAAACAACTTGCCAGAGAAAGGAGAGAGGCAAAATAAAGAGAATGGTTTCTTATATCCATGCTGCAAGCTGGTAAAAACAAAACAACAACCCACCTAGATGACATATAATAATAATAGCTAAGATGCATTGAGTATTTACTAACTACCACACATGGCCTCAAGTATTTTTTATATATGTTCTCTAATTAAATCTATCAACTCTATAGTAAAAGCACAGATGTACGTGTGTGTGTGTGTGTAGATATGTTTTTTGTCTGTCTGTGTCTGTATGTTATCTATTTTAGTCTCTTCTGTTACAACATATATCTCCAATATGAAAATTTTTTGCTATGTAGTAGGTAAAAAGCAATAAAATTGCCAAAATGAGAAGTCATGATTTTTCAAGAAATGACTATATCCGCACCACCACAAAACATGTAGAAACACTACCTGATGGAACAGAGTGTCCTATAGTAAAATATACAACGCTCACTCACCACCCACCTCATCTTCTTACTCTTAACCCAGTGTATGATATGCATTGTCCTAAGAGTGAACGCACTGTTCTTTTGAATTTTTGTTTATTTCATGATGAGCCTATTGAGCATACTGTATTAAACCTGTATAAACACCCTGGTTATAAGAATCCTAGGTAGTAAATAAAAAGAAAAGCCTTCAGTTGAAATAATGAGATGTTTTGAAATAAATGAGAGAATTTACAGGCCCGAGGGAATCCACATTGTTCACATTCAGGAACAAGGGTGAGAAAATAAACTAAAGGAGTACTTGTGCATACCAGTTATCATCTGCGTCGAGTGGAATTGGGAAGCACTTTGAAGAGATTGCAGATAAGGACGCCCATGCCAAGTAATGCCAATCCAGTTGAATAGCACTTTGTTTCCAATAGTCTCTAGGCTCATTAGGAACCATACAAGCAACTTCTTTATGAAAAGAGGAGACTCTCAGAACAAAGTAGAATTTCTATTTTAGGCTGGTTTAGGAAACAGAAAAACAGAACAACACACCAGAGTAATCCAACTCTGGTATCACAATATTTTACCCTAAGGATGATGAGGTCCTTCTTTCCTTTTACCTCTTCTTAGTAATAGAAAAAATTACAACACGTTACCACACTGATTTCAAGCAAATGGTGTTTGGAGCATGGCTATCCACTAAGGAAAATAATTAACCTATTACCTCCCATTTAAAGTAGGCATGGAAAATCTAAAACTTCTATATGGCGAAAGACATAATGACTAAAAGACAAATGACAAACATGTCATTGTAACATGTGACAATGGGTTAAAATTATTATAATAATGTGTAATAAGCTCTTATAAATCAGTAAGGTAAAAAAAAAGAACATCTCAGTAAGAAATGATCAAATAAATGATGAAAAGATAACAGAAAGAAACACAAAGTCTAATCAACATGAACTAGAGCTCAATTTCTAATTTAAAATATGCAAATTAAAATTATGCATTAATTTAACCTAGTAGATTGGCAAAAACACACTAAAACGATTTTAAAAATAGGTCCAGCCCTAACCGGTTTGGCTCAGTGGATAGAGCGTTGGCCTGGGGACTGAAGGGTCCCAGGATCGATTCTGGTCAAGGGCATGTACCTTAGTTGCGGGCACATCTCCAGTGGTGGGTGTGCAGGAGGCGGGTGATGGATGTTTCTAACTCTCTATCCCTTTCCCTTCCTCTCTGTAAAAAAAATCAATAACATATATTTAAAAAAAAAAAGATTGCGGTTTGATCCCCTTCCAGGTACTTAGGGCGGCAACACATTGATATTTCCCTCTCACATCCTCTCTCTCTCTCTCTCTCAAGTCAATAAATACTACTATATCCTCGGGTGAGAATAAAAAAAAAGGGTTCAGTAATTTTACCTTTCCCTTCGAGAATGAGAACGACTTTATTCAAAGGAAATGAGATGGGTTAAAAACTATATGTGCAAGTGTGTTCATTATAGAATTGTTTATAAGTTTAAAAAATTG